CAGTTGTTTGTGACACCATGTTGCAAAACTTTAAAATTCAAAAGAAAGATTTAATGGAAGATAGGGGTGGGTGACACCAAATAATAGTTTTAATTTGATAGCAGGCAGTACCAGGGCCTGAATCACTTCATTATTATTAAAAGCTACTACTATAATATTGTGTAGACTGTAGAGGAGGGCAAAGTGCCATTAATAATGAGGTTAATGCAACATTGTCAGGGCACTTCTAAATGATGCTGAATAAACTGAAGGGGGTCAAGACCATGACTGACTTGCTAGTGATATGAACTCTTATATGACTCTAAATCTAAATGAACCACATGTTTAACACATGATCCCATCACTGTCTCCACCATTTGAACTGCTTAGACCAGCTCTGCCTGCACTGAGATGTCCAGTGGTGCTACTATGAGGTGACCAGAGGGGGCCACAGCCACCCCGATACAATTGCTTTATGAAAATTTTTTGGGGATGCCTCTGGAGGTTTTCCAGGGATGCCTCTTTGTCATTTCCCTTCCAGGTCAAGATCACTAAATGATCCACAGTTACAGCGGCCTCAGTTATGTGAGTGGCCTGCGCATGCCCAGAATACCCAATGGGGATGTCTGTGAATTCTTTCTGGTATTCCTTCAGTAAAAGAGAGAGGGGGTAAAGATAATCTATTTGTCATTAATGATCATAGTGTGTTATGTATAATGCCCAATGTTTTCATGAATGTGCACACGCTAATTGACAATATTACTACTGCAATAAAGTTTTAATTTATGAACCGAGCTGATCAAATTAACTGTAACTGTGGTAATGTTAGCTTGGAGGCCTTAAATAGTGTGCCAAAAATAAAATGGTGACATCCATGACATTAGATCAACTTTCACTCTAAAAAGCACTTGTGCACAGGGACACGCATGGTTTCTCCCTTGTTTGACAATCCTGCACAGCACACACACATTACAAAGATTGTCTTCCTCAGCTATGGTTTGCTGGGAGAGTCTGATGAAGGAAGGGAGAAGGCATGACGGTTGAGGGTTTAGTTTCCAGTCTAACTCGTCTTCAGGGACACTCCCCAAACTGACGTGGAATTGAATGAACATACGTAATTTGAAGGCTTATGTCAATATGTTATATTGTCAAAGCATTAGAATTGTGTGTGTGTGTGTGTGTGTGTGTGTGTATCTCATGTTAACAGGTGCCTGTTGTCCTGGAAACAGAGCTTTCAAGGCTTCGTTGTGTTGTTATGTAAGACTGTTATGTCACTATTATCACTGTGATATCAAAATAATTCTGTAATATCAATAGCAGGTAACAGTTGAGCTTGTTCAGGGTGTGTGAGATTTGTTTCTATTTGGAGAAAGCCCTTGACTGCTGAGGTAAACAAAACAGAACTATCAAATTGATGATGCCACAACAATAAATCAATCCATCATCATCATTAGTTTGCTCCATGAAATCTTAAATTATGACTTCTATGAAATGTAGTTGTCTGTTCTGTCACTTAGTAGTAGTGATAAATTAATGTCATTGTTTAGGATTAGGCAGCGTAATCATCCAGTATCCTATCAACTGAAACGACATGCTGAATTTGCAGTTCATTCTCACAATAAACCAGTGAACGTCTTCATCTCTGGCCCAATCCCACTTCAAGTGTTGTCAAAGGCCCCCCACACCTGGTTGGGGTTGGTCAACATACCTTTTTTCTAAAGAATAAGATTTCAGTCTTTTCTTGAACCATTCCTCAGGTTTTAAAAGTATATTTTTCAACCTATCCTAACATTTTGAGTTCTAGTATTCTAATCAAAAACATACCTGACAGTTCTCATTAACAAGTAGTGTGGTTTCATGGTAAGACACAACACTGGTCACTTACTGGAACTGTTCTTGTTGGCAACAGCCCACAGTCTGTGGTCCTATAAGTCACTCTCTGGAATTGTTCCCACTTTTATCAGACCAATGCATATTTATGTTTATTCATTTCGCTCAGCAGAGACAGAAGAGTGAAGTAAAGATAATGTTTAATACAGAATATGAGTGTACAGAGTAGACTAACAAATGATTTGTGCTGATTAAGATTTAACAGAAGTGTTTTGCGCTTGGACACCAGAGGGAGATATTTTGTGATCGAGGGACATCTGAGCAGCAGCAGGATAAATCCCCCCAATGGAGTCCAGACACTGGTGGTGGTGGTGGCTGATGACTCTGAGGCTGCTGACTGCTGAGGCGGATGAGGCTGATGAATCTATAAAGACTGGGTGGTGATGGGGAGGTGGAGGGTGCGCACGACGGCAGCAAGAAAGAACTACAGCAGAGAAAGAACCATGAGGAGCTGAAAGATGATAGGCTGACAGAGCTTATGAAAAGGCAAAAACGTATTTAATGCACTGTCAAGAGCATGCCAAACACAGGCAGCAACATAACTGTAACCCTAGAGCCACGCAAAGAAGAAGGTGGTGATGTTGGCCAATCAGAAGCCCAAAAAAGCTACAACCAGAAGGCTACCTGGGGCAGTGACCTCTGTGGTGCATTTTGACGCCTGTTCCTCAATACAGTGGAAGAGTAACTGTACGTCTATGTGTAAACATGTAAAAAGTCCTGTTAGCAATGTTAGAACCACCTCCACCATTGCACATTACACATTATTTATGACGCTACACAAAGGACATCAACAACACTGAAAATCTTCAAAAATCTAAAGTAGAGAGGGAGAGAAGTAGGGAGAGAAAGTATGTCTTAAGGAAGATCATGTGTTAATCACCATGACCTCAAGCATTTACTTAGTTCTTTTCTTACTGTATCTAACCTTTCAATATAATCGTCTTTATCATAGTATATCCTTTCATTGTTATGCAGATGACACGCTATCTTACCTTCCTATCAAAGCCTGACATTCCAAAAGCCAGCTATGCGACAAAGCTGCTTTGCTGATCACTTTTTTTCAGTTGAACTCAAGAGTCTCATCATCAGCCCTGCCTTGATTCTTCCTCATCTCATTCTGAGTAAAACACCAGGCAGCTGTGAATTCATCACTGGCTGATGAGCTGGATCAGATGACATTGGAGGTTGTTGGATAGTCCTTGTAAAAAATGTGTGGTGGAAAATGAACTAGACTTTGGCCTCCAAGAAATCCTCTCCTGTATCTGCTTGGGTCAGGAACAAGTCATGTACAAACAAAACTAAAATATTAGTGATAGTTTTATTGCACTCCTAACAAAGAAGAGTCAGTGACTGCAAGGAGACACTTGTTCTGTTCATTCATCTTCATGTGACCATGCTGAGGTTGACATCTGTGGGATCCAGAGGTTTGGCACTGGTGCACTGCAGGATGGTGAACATATGGTGGTGCTCCGTCATTGTCTTGTAGACCCGATGCATCATCTCCATGGACTACATCCCACTGGATGCCACCATGGGATGTCCTGACACAGACTGACTGGTACAAAGAGAAAGGGAGATGGAGGCCACAACAACCTGGATATATCCAACAAAAAGTACCGCTGGGCCAAATAAGTTCCACATAGTGTGTGATTCAATTTAAGATTTTGGGAATATAGCCAGTGTCATCTGAAGCTGACTTTACAGCACAAAAGCTCCTCCATTAACATTAATTTCAGGGGTGGTCACAGATAAAATACTTTGCATGAAAACAGACAAACATATCTAACTGCCCTTAAGCTTAGACCTCAGAGAAAAGATAAATCCAACATTATTCAGGACAATAAAAAGCCTTGCAAACCTCTTTACGTTTTCTTTCCTTTAACAACCCAAATTAGGTTCAGGTAAGAGTTGTTAGAGCTTTAATGCTGCACAGCTTCATACCCTTTTAGGCAGTTTTCTCCAGATAGGGAAAGTTGTTTGTATCACACGAGGTAAGTCATGGAGAACTCCACAGCCATCTATGGAAACTGAAATCATTTGGGCGCTCTGTTGTTCAGGATTCTTACAAGTAAATCTTTCCAGGATCTGCCAGCACTATGACACCTTGTTGACTCAGTGCAGCCACATTCCTAAACCACAGATGAACATTTATTATCCAGCTGAAGAACGACAGGATGACAGCTTTCATTCACTTTTTACTGATATTGAAACCAAATGGACAATGAACACGCATGGTCAAGCAACAGCTGGCAAATATCTAGTTCTCTTTAAAACCACAACTGTCTAATTTCAGTGACATAAACATTTTATATACTGTATATATATTGCCTTCTGTATATGTACATAGGTACACGCATAGAGTACATACACACACTGTTGAGGTTTAAACGCACACACAAACAGGTCATATGTATTGTAATGACTGGACTTTGTTCAGTTCCTGACTGGAGAGGGGAGAGGCTTTTCAAAAGGAAATGCATAGATCGGAAAATTGAACACAATATGCCACAAGCAGGCTCTACACTCACAGCTTAAAGTACACACACTGAATTTGGAGTTCTGTCTTAGAGTTTGGTCCTTAAAAAACAACAATAAAGAAAAATTCTTAAGTTTTTTTTTTTTTTGTAAGGATGGGAAAACAGAAGGTGAAGTAAACCATTTAACATCGATCAACCCTCGTAAGTCGAAGAAAGATTCATGAGATTGACAGGTTAAGAGTTAGAGTACAGCATCATGGGAATGATATTGTTTGGGGGCCGTGTGAAGCAGGCTATAGTGTAGCTGAAGGCCCAAACAAACATCAACCCTTCCCTTTTAGTGTTCCAGCTCACCACCTTTACACAAGTGTTGCACAAGACCACAGATCATGAGACCTGGTGTCGATCTAACAGGCCTCGATCTCAGTTTGTTAAACGTGAGGAAGACATATTAAAAGGTCTTGTTTGGTCTGTGGAAGAGGTGCACACAGGTTGAAACCCTTTAAGGGGGAGGAAATGGTGAGCTGGTGCTTCAAGATTAATCTCTACAGCCCTGCCAGGTGGAAATGGATGAGGGCAGGACCACTGGCTATATCCTTCCATTGGG